ACTGGCTTGGACTCACCTGTTTAACAAATGTTAGTATTGGCTAGACATCATCTTTAATGCGGCTCCAGATGCTTTTAAAGTCACTGAAGCGTCTTCTTTTTTGTTTCACATTCTGCTGCAACATTTATATTTTCCAATTAAGCTAAGTCCCACTGCTGTGGATAATAAGAAATGCTTCAGAGATTCCTACCATATCACCAAATTCACAGACATGACTCCTCTTGTGTTCAACCACAAGCTACTTACCATTTATCACAGATTTAAAACAATAGGAAAGAAGTTATGTGTACAAAAGAAAAATCAAAATGTACATAATACTTTCTTGGAGACCATTCAGATATGGCATGGGTATTGATTTTATAAAGCTTGCCACATCTCAAGTCATTGTGATCAATATTTAAATGCAACAAAGATTACTCTTGAAACTAATTTGCAACTTAAGGAAGGGCATTTTGGTACTCCCAGTGCTTAAAAGTAGAGCTGCAGCTAACGATTATTTTCATAATCGATTAGTTAGCAGTTGCAGCCCTACTTAAAAGCTGAATGTTTTTGCATTAAACTCTGTTTGTTAAATCCTTTTTAAACATTTGAAACTTTTGATATAATATATGCACAAATAGACACAGAGGTTTAAAGCAGTTGGTGGGCACAGACAAGCATATATAGCTGATATGAACACATACAAATAGGTTATGTTAATGCTTTGTTTTCTTGTAATGACTTTTTAATAGTGATTATCAGTTAGAAAATTCAGGTGTTACCATGGCATTCGTTAGAAAACAGAGGCAGACAATGTAGAACTCACCACCCATGAGAACTATTGGCGCTGGTGGTGAGCTTACATTTTGGCTAAAGTACACACTAAAACATCATTATTTTGTTTTGTTTTGGTCTTTTTAAAAGCATGTTTTAAATTAGCCTCTTTCTACTATGATGCCTTATGGCTTCCTCAAAGATGCCTTGAAATTTTGGCACAGCATCATGCCTTTCCATGGTGCAGGCAGGTTTCTGATGTTAAAGGCAGTAGGGGGACTCTGAAGTGAAGGGAGGACCTTTGATGTGAAGTGGGATTCCTAGTGTGAGAGGAAGGACTGTGATGGGAAAGGGGGAAGCTCTTGTTGTTAAGAGGGATTCTGATGGGAAGGGGGGAACTCTTCTTATGTTTTTGCTTTTCTGGGATAAGTGTCTGGTATGGATTTTTAAGGGGCCACACATGATGTTTTTTTACAGTTCAGTTTTTTATATTTTAGGATGGGGTGTCTTAAGATTTTGCATACTTATAAGGGGTGCTGTGACCAAAAAAGGTTGAGAAACACTGTTTTAAATGCATACACTGCCTGCTTAATAAATGGTATATGGCACACTTCTAAAGCATTGAATGTGACATTCACCAGACATTCACTGGTAAATTTTATATTAAAACATTCACCAGGAAGGTTACAAGAAGGGAGCAGCTGCTGGTATCCTAGCAACCAATTTATTAATCATGTCAGCCAGAATCACTTTCCCTTCATTTACATTCAAATATCAGCTGAGGAATCTCCCAGCCGGAGAACTGGATGGGGCCATGGATGTGTTATTGGTTGCTAGGAAGCTGTCGGCTGCATAGCTGACAGCCCACTAGCAACCAATAACATGACTAAATGGTAGTGGGTGTGGCCTTTTGTGCAAGCTAAGAGGCTAGTTCTTCATCAGGTCTGCCTCTCTTGTGACTGACAGCAGGCAGTAGTCTGCAGATTCCAAAGCCGCTACCCACAGCAAAACGTCTCGCCCACCTTGTCTGTGTGTCGGGTGCAGTGGTCAGTTAGGTGGCTCAGCAATGCTGGGCTTGTGATTTTATTAGGCTCAATGTTACTGAGGTGTCCGGTATGGGCACTCCAGCCTCAGTTCTTGCCCAGAGCTGAAGCCGGAGCATCCATACCTGATAAAAGATTAATGTACCTGTTTCCAACAGTTACATATCGACAGACTAGTTGTTACATTTGTTGTGCAGACAAATGCCAGAATTTATACGAGTGTCTACAACACTAATTATGAATTCCAAGGATTGTGCTGTCCCTGAGTGGCTACATTTATTCCCTCACTGTATCTGTGGAGGGAGCTGTAGTTGGCATGCAATAGCTCGCTGTATTCTGTGTTTTAGGACATTAGCATATGTCCTGATGTGAGCCTAAAGAGAACTATGGGCAAAAAAGGTTGCCCCATAATTTTCCTTTAATTAAAATGTTTGGATGTCAAAGTGGCTGAATGCCACCTTCAGATGGATTTAACTGGGCAATTTTAAATCGTATACAAGTTTTAAATCGTATATCAGATATTTCAGCTACAGCCTCCTTTTACCACCCATGAGTAAACCAAATCCTCCTTCATTGGTGTCTCACGTGCTTCCCCTTCCCCTGCAGCTCTCACTGGGAGGCTTTCAGCAGTAGAAGCAGTGCTGTTAATCCAGAAAGTAGTGGCGAGAATAGGTATGGCAGGTAGTGGATTGACAAACTACAGGCTTGTGAATCAACAGTGATAATGTTGATAGATATGCTTCCAGTAATGTCTGCTCATCCCACTGTATAGTAAGCCAGCACAATCTAAATGAGCATGACAACTCTACTCTGAATTCAGGAGCAGTGCAGCAGTGTTGTCACATTAAGCTGCCATCGGCAGATCCACCAGCATGATCATCAGGTATTTGTGGGACTTTACAGGGGAACTGTAGGTGCAGATGAACGTAATTAAAGTGACACTTATTTAAATCTTAAAAGTCCATTCAAGTACCTTAACTATTTAACATCAATATAGCTTATTTGTGTGTCACTCAGCTGGGGATCATGAAATCATCTCTGAATTGGTGCTGACATTGTCCTTCCTTCTGGAGGGTGGCTACTTTTGTTTTCCATGGTCTGCGTGTGTTGTAAAGCAGCCACAGCTCCAAGCTTACTCCTAAGATGGACTACAATCTCACGTTTAATTTATTAATTTGTATTGAGATTTTAGTACATTACGGGAGCGAGCTTGGTGTGGTGGCTGCTTTACAACACACACAGGAACAAAAATAACCACCCTCCAGAAGGCAGGACAGTGTCATCATGGATTCAGAGTGATGCACAAATAAGCTACATTTGTGCTAATAGTTAAGGCACTTGAATGTATGTTTAAGATTTAACTCCTGAGTTAAAGGGGTTCTAAACCCTCCATTTTTTTTTTGCTTATATCTACTGCTAGCATGCAGTAGATATAGGCAAGAAGTGTAAAAAAAAAAAAGCTTAAAATCATTTTAAACTTACCTCGTTATCGCCGCTCGTTCCCACACCGAGAATCAGGAACTGCTCGTACGGCCGCAAAGGATCTTGGGGCGGGCGCATGCGCAGTTCCGATTCTCGGCCGGGAGACGAGCAGAGATGCAAGGTAAGTCTATGGACGCGTGCACCCGCCTGCAGTCAGCGCTGGATCGGAGTGACGTCACACCGCTGGAGGGACAGATGAAAACATGGGGAAAGAAGAGGAAGATCGGAAAAAGAGACATCATGTAAGGTAAGTGCTAACATTTACATTGGGGGGAGGGAAAACATTTTTTGCCTTTAACCACCTTCCGTCCATGGCCGTTTATGAACGGCCGGACGGAAGTCTGCTAGGAGCTGGAGGGCGTCTTAAGACGTCCTGCCCCTCTCGTGTGCGGCACTCAGCGCGCACACGAGAGGGGAAACTATAAATAAAATTTACAGCATTAAAAAAAATAAAGAAGGTAAAAAAAATATTCACAAATAATAATTAAAAAAATAACACAAAAAATGTTTTAAAGTCCCCCGCCCCAGCCACATAGACATGCAAACGTGCGCCTATGTACGAAAAGGACGCTTGCGCCCATTATGCAGCACATGTTACATATCGCCGCGAACGTCGGAGTGAGAGCAATAATTTTAGGGCCATCAATCACTGATAACACTAAACTGATGAGCGGTAAAAACGTTTAAAGTGTCGCCTATGGCCAATTTTGGTTGCGGTCGTTTTCTGCGATTTTGCGGGCGCGCGCATTTTTTAAAGTTGACTTGTTTAGTGTCTATTTACCCGACGTGACCCCAACTTTTATATTATACCAAAAAATTGGGGTAAAAATAAATGTTTCATAACATTTTATAGGGAAACATGTTTTTTTTCAAAATTTAGGGTACTTTTTTTTTTTATGAAACATGTTTTTTTTCAAAATTTAGGGTACTTTTTTGTTATATAGTAAAAAATAAAAACCCCAGTGGTGATTAAATACCACCAAAAGAAATCTCTATGTGTCCCCAAAAAATGGTATGAAATTCGTATCAGTACAGCGTTGCATGACGGAATAAACGTCAGTCAAAGTACCGCAGCGCTGAATACTGAAAAATGGCCTGGCCAGGAAGGGGGTGAAACACCCCGGTCTTTAAGTGGTGAATGTCACTTTAAGTGTCACTTTAAGTGCTGCAGCACATATTTTGTTCTTATGGGCAGCTATAGTTCTGCTTTAACCTTACCCAAGAGCTCATTGTTTTAGCATTTGATGATTATGATGACCACTTTTTATGTTTTACATCCAATACCAGAGGTGTTTTTCAGGAGGAAATTGTAGTACAACATGAGTATTTTACATGTTTTGTTGATTGTAAAGTAATGTAAAGTTACTTATTGAGATGTCCGTGATAGTTCATATAATGTACCATACACTAGCACTGAATATTTTTTGAGAGTTTATTGTAAGGACAGAGGTTAAAACATTTAAATGGGTTACATGGGTGGTTAAAAAATTCATATTATTCCATATTTAAAGAGACTCTGTCTGGTGTGAGAGGAAGAAACCAGAGCATGCTGTAGTGGGCACCGCCATCCGACACTCCCAGAAGTGTCGATTGGCTAATTCACTAATGGAGGCTGTATGACACATGGGCCACTAGAGAGGTGACCATTCTACCACTAACAGAGCTGACTAGAAAAAAAAAAAAAAACACAGCCGCTGATTTTTATGTTGCCTTTTATTACAGAGGGACAATTGAGAGTCGATGCAAATATTTCTGTTCATCATCCCGGAGAGCCATATGGAGTAAGGGCAGAAGTTAAGAACATTAACAGCGCTCGTTTTCTGTCAAGAGCCATCGGTACTGTAACCTTTCATTATATATTAGGACATGTTTATTTATATACTGTTTTAGAATGTTTTATTTAATGTGTTCAGTAGAAACAAATCACAGGCACAGTCTTTCTCAGTGTCTGCTATTTGGTTCTAGTACTAATGCTCGTACAGTCCCTATATTTCCCTGAGTGCTAAGTAGAAAGTGAATGTTACATTGCCTAATACTTCTCCATGTGTCTAGATTGTACAAGGTATTATACATCCTTAGGAGCCTCAGTTTTTTATGCTGGCCATATGCTGCAGATCTTTTATCATTTAATATAAAATATAAGTACCACCTGCTGTTGTATAACCAAGGCCACAAGGCCTTCCATTTTAGCCAACCCCCCCAAAAAAAAAAAAAAATTTGCATGGAGAAGTACCTGTTTGACTGAAATTATCAAATATTGTCTCATTTAAACTCTTCCATTTATTAATACCTTTTTCAGTTATTGTTTTTCATACCCATGTTTTATGAATACCTTCAGTATCATTTACACAAGCCTTTAACTTTGAGAGATAAACAGGTTATGAGAGCTGAACTCCAGAATAGTCTTACATTTTCCCTAATACTTCCTGTCTCCAGCCTCAATTGTTTCTCTTTTTTAGGTAAAAATTATTGTTTTAGAATTTGTGACTTTATTACGTTTACTTGCAAAGTGTAGGTATGCCTGGCAGCCGGAAGGAGGAGATGACATCATAACCATTTGTCATTTGGCATGCCTCAGGCAACTATAAGTCCCATTTTGCCTTGGGACATGGCTATGGGCCAGATTGTGGGTGTCACAAGGGGTCTAATACCTACTTCTACATATTTGCCCACATCCCTGCTCAAAGTTTAGCAGGCAACAGCTTGCAGGTGAGCAGTAAACTCCCACTTGTGGCATCAAGATCGTCGTTATGTCACCCCTGTAGTCTGAAGAACTACAGAGGGGCACAAAAAATGACAGGAAATGTTGTGCGATACTTCTATTACAGGCATTGGTGTGGAGAGAATCTGGCAGCATCTGTGGCAGAGAGGGTAGAAATAAAGGTCCTCTTACCTACTGGGAACCTGTAGAAGTAGATAAACTAAAGATCCTTTTTAAGCACCACTGAGGGCCTGTCTCATTGGGCTTTTTTTAATTTCAAATGGCTTTACATTCCCATGCAAGTCCATGCGAATGCAAAACCTGCTTGAAGTAGGTGTAACCCAGGTCAGATGGAGGTCAATAGCACCTGTCAGTGAATTCTGAATGATCTCAGAAGAATCAAACTGATGTCAAACTGATTTCATTGACACAAACCTTTCAAATCTCTCTTCAACTGTATAAATAAATTGAGCTGTTGTTCAGACACAAGAAATAAAAACAAGTACAGTTAATGGTGGCCATAAATAAAAGGGAATGGTTTCTTATGCAATCAGGTATCTGGGCCTGCCCCTGATGTTCCTGCATATCAGCTTACTTTATTCATAGAGATGAATGAATGCTTACAGCTACTTAAAAATCCATTTAGTTGTAGAGAACAAGCAGAGCAAAAAGCTGAGTTCACAAATACAGTTCAGCCGTTCACATAGATGAGACCTTGAATGGAGATCACAGCACTAAACTGTCATTTCTTTCATCTTAGATTATGAAATTCAAAGGCAAACAGAAATCCTTAATAACGGAGGTGTAATTCTGAATGAAACAAGGGCCTTTGATTACAAACTCGGGTAAGAGTATTTTTCATTGGACCGTGTCCTCCATTTTGTGTGCAGACATACCTAATGAAGCAGACATACCTAATGAAGTGGACATTGAGTGTATTCTGGATACAAATATGTACTAAAGCTGGCCATACACTAATAGATTTCCAAACAAAAGATCTTTCTTTACCACCCAATAATGCCATCAGATACTTGACTAATATCGAACAAATTTTTGTTTTATTTTAACATTCAATTTTGGAATGAATGGAGTTGCCCAAAAAAAAGCACATTCACTGTTAGAATTTAGTTTCGTCAAGAAAAAATTTCCATCCTGCTCCTTCGAGTTTTTTCGTCACCATGGTCAAAATCAATTATTGATTTCACCCTATCAACAAGTCATAAGAAAGACCTTTTGGAAATCTAGTGTATGGCCATGTTTACTTATTACTTTCTTTAATTAGACCTGTTGCACTATAATGTTAAAGCTACAGATTTTTACTCTTTATTGCCCTTTTTTGCCGCAATGGTGCGTACTTGTAATTTAAAGTGTATGTCAAGCCAATATATATAAATAATTGCTGTTTATATGATTTAAACCCACTCCATTTAAAAATTATTGAAAAGACTGGTTATGACCCCAGTCAGGTTTTGTTTCTCTCTGTGTCCCGCCTGGGAGATTTTCTTTACTCCCTTTTGCACAGACACAGCAGGAAGTAGGTGGAGATCTCTCTAAAGCAAAAAGAGGGGGACACAGGCATCAATAAAACCTTGCCTCGACTCCTGTGACACTCAACCTTCACTCAAACTCAACCTTCTGTACTGGAGACTAGTGACTAGTTACCAGGACCAATACTGGGAGCAAATCTCCCTAGCGGGGTTGCAGTAATAAAAACCTGCAACACATCAAACCATAAAAAAGCCTGCATAATCCATCTGTAGGGGTGGAGGCTTGGCTAAATGGTGACACCATGCAATTCCAAGAAAAGAAGCCTGCACTCTAACTGAACATCAAAGGTGACCTTTTACTGAAGTAAATATAAAAAAACAACATAATTTTAAGGGTACACAGACCCTCTTTTCCAAGTTACCGAACAGAGACAAACACAACTATGTGGGAGTATATATACACTGGTAAACTAACATGCATAAAGTTGGTGTTTTTTGTGATATGGGATTGGACAGTAAACAGTCATCTTGGAAGTTCAGTTGGAGTGCTGGCCTTTTTTTATGTATCAAAACCTGAGAGGGGTTTTAACCTTTCCACATGCTATCCAAAGCAAAAAAATAAAGTTTGGCTTTACATACACTTTAATACAATATACTGTACAATGTACTTATACATAAAAGACCTAGATACTAACAGAAGCACAGGTGGAAATACTAAGAGAAGAGTGTTTGGAGGAAATGTTTACATTTTGTAACAGAATTAACAGAATCTTCTAGGTAGAAGAAGAACGAGGGAAAGGCCTATAAAGAGTTGGGCTGATGATGCACATTAGGAAATCAGACTGCTGGCAGTCAGTAGACTGAGACTAAAAAAAATGGATAGAGAGAAATGAGGTACAATTGTGCAGGAGGCTAGAATATTATTGGCCACGTGGCCAGAGAGAGAATCTGTAGCAGAAAGTTATAGCCTGGACCTCGTGACAATGGTTTTTGCCTGGACAGAGCAACTCGTTATTCAGTTTAACATTGTAAAATTAGTTGGGGCACACAGTCTCATTGAAAACATGCTCCTGAACAAAATGCTGATTGTCAAAGTTTTCCTTTCTTTGCAACAGATTCCCTTTAATATACATATTTCATTAGATATAATGTTCTCTCCCCTCTTATTTCTGCTATAAAAGTGTTCCCATTATATTAATAGCCCTTGCTACCTTTTCTTGAGTTTTAGACATGGTTAATTGTTTGATCTAGAATTTTCATTAAAACATAGCAACTAAAAACATTTTTCTTATGCTCGCTGAATATTTGCTATTTTGCACATTTTTAAGGGCCACCATACCTATGAGGGACAAGGAAGGAAAGCAAGATTACCGGTAAAGATGTTCCTTTAGCTTGGTTTAATAATTCATGAAATATCTACTGTATTCTTTTTGCATTTACAAATGCAGCAGCTGCCAAGTGTTTGTAGAAGGATAACAAAGGATTTTTTAAAATGCGTGCTGCTCACGGATCTACATGATTTCTGATCCATATATGTAAATAAATGCAACCGTAACTCAACAGCAGTGTGTGCTCCTAACTGTGTAATCAGTTTCCTTGGTTTGTTCATGATGCGTACTCTAAAAATATATATTCGTTTTTATGCATGAGAAGTATTCTTTAAAATTCTACAGTTTGGAGTTTTTATTTTTTTGTATCTTTTTTTTTTTTTCAATATACTATGTACAGCATACTGTCCTTTTATATGTTCTAATAAATTATACACTTGCAGATTTGAAGTGATTATACAATAGTCTATAAGGTCATTGTAAATCCCAGCTCCAGTCTCACATTTTACGTACTTGAGTAGTTGATGGCATCTTAGTTGTAAATGCGCTGCTCTGTGCATGCCATTCATATCTTCCCTCTCCCTGTAAGTCTCAGAACTTGCCAAGGAATCTGTGGTGACCATATAGCTTCTGGGTCAAATGACATTTTGCTTCACCCCTCCACTTCCTCCCCAGCCTGGCTGTCATTAATACATTAAATTCATGACGCTGCCTTTGAAAGTTGTGGGTGTTACTAGTTTCAGAATCCTTAATTTTGCAACACCGTTCTTGGGGCATGTTGTTCTATAGCAGCGCAGCACATCTCTAGTGTATGGCATGTGTGCCACTTGTATCCTCACATGGCCTGAGTAGAAGTAGGCTGTCTATTTTGTTCTGATGGTCATGTTATTGCAATTTTTTAAGGCAAATTAAAGCCCAACTCCGGCCCAGTACACTTACTCCTAGGGATGCACCTATACCAGTTTTGGGGCAGATACTGGGCATTTGAACGCGTACTTGTGAATATGCCCCGTTACTAACCGCCGATACCGGTGCTTTTAATTTTTAAACTGAAGCTGCTGCCTGAGGTCCGGTGCTTGCTGAGGACCTCGACAGCCTTCCTGTGAACCGCGGCACCTGTTTACAGCTCCAGGTGCACATCTCCTCCTTACTAGGGAACCACGCAGCGCTGCTTACAGCTCCTCCGCCACCCACACCTGCCCACGAGACCCTCCGGACCCCTCGGGAGACTCCACACAGCCCTCCTGAGACCCCACACAGCTCTCCTGAGATCTTGAAAACAGCGGGCCGCCACCCCGGAGCAACACAGTATGTAGCTTCATATTATTCTGCATTGCTGTATAAATGTATTGCTTGGATTTGTGGTCCCCTATAGCTGGTGGTATTCTGCATTGCTTTATAATGTATCGCTGAGATTTGTAGTCCCTCTACAGCTTGAAGTCAGTGGCAGAACTACCAGGGTCGCAGAAGTCACAGCTCGACCACTGTCCTAAAATCATTAATCTGTATTGTTTTAGAAAAACTGTCACATGGCACTAAATACAAAAGGTATCGGTAATTGGTACTGGCGAGTACTTGAAGAAAAGTATCAGTACTTGTACTTGGTTTTTTTTAAATGGTATCGGTGCATCCCTACTTACTGCAGTTCAGTAAGTTGTAGAGGTCCCTTTCTGTAAACTAATACCTGCGAGTGGAGGTCTGCCGTTGACCGTGCCTACTGCAGCACTGCAGATCTCATAGACCTCAGTGCTGTGGTTGCATCTTCATCCTGCTCTCCTTCTGACCAATTAAAAAAGGGAGCCTGGTGCCATTTGCTTTGTGATTGATCAGGAGAAGTTAGGGACAGAGATGCGACCGCAGTGCTGAGGTCTATGGGACCTGCAACATTTCAGCCAGAGCAGGCATGGAAGCTCATTGGGAGCTGGACTTCCACCTGCAGGTATACTTAAGATTTCTGGGGAGATGAAGTAAAATCCTTATCAAGACATGTGAGTTTAAAAAAGTGAGGTAAAAAAAGTATCTAATTCTGTTTTTAAATGTCTACATGTTTATTATGTTTAAAGTGTTCTTCTGTGTTTTCCAAGGTTTATGCCAGAGCCAAACCTTCCCCCATTGATACTTTATGATAGCAAGACATTACCAAATAACGTGGATTCTGCACAAGTTATAAACATAGACTTGATTAAAGAAATGTTGCCAGAACTTCCCAATGTCACCAGGGAGCGACTTGTTGAAGAATATGGAATATTGCCCGAGCATAGTCATGTTCTGGTGGTAAGTTTCTTTTGAGCTGGTCCTGACAGAACTGCAGCTATTTACACTGTGCTATAGTTATTGTTCTAGTGTAATAAAAAAGGGACAAATGCTTTGAGGAAAAAAATGACATAAAAGTTTTGCTTGTTTGGTACTATGACTTTCAGTCCACAATCAAGTAATCAAGGAAGAAAAGGCGAGTCTTAAAATTATAGCACAGGACTTTTCAAGTGAGTTTTTCAAGTGTACAAGAAAATGGATACATGGGTTGAATGCATATTCAGATTTGTAACCCAGTATACAGAAATGAGTCATGGTGATGCTATGCAAGCATTCCTTTGTGTATGGATCATATTTTGTCATGTACTTATGCTGCTAGTGCTAGATTGCTATTGCTCACTGGCCACAAAATAGCACTTTGTTGAATAGGAAGCATTAATATTTAAATTTTACCCCTGCTTACAATTTTTCTGTATAATAGAGATGCTTGTGAACTGACTTACAGTGTTTGGTAACAATAATTACTCTGTAGCTAAACTTGGCATGGATGACTGGGAGAAATTGTTTTTGTGCAGCAAGGCTGTACAACCTGTGGGGATCCACCGTAAATATCTGCAACATCTAGATTATTAGATATGGCATTGCTTTTATTGGTTTCTATTGGGAAATACACACTTTCAGGGTGACATGCAGTGGCAACTTTGCCTCTAAAGTCCCAGAAAATAAAGCTTTGTCATGTAAGACAACAGAATAGGAATTTCAGGTGCAGGTCACAGTGGCGCACTCCCAATTTGAGCATGTCACTGGTATACTTTTACATATAAATCATTGCTATCAGTGTGGAATGACTGAAAAAAACATATTGTTTCGAGAACAAAAGACTATGGAAAAGTAATAGAGGACTGCTGGGGATTCATACGTGAAGCATTTTGTACTAGGTGCTCCCTTCTTTTAAATTTTAGGTTTTAATGCATAAATCTGCTTTTAACACAACAAGATGTCTGTTATTTTCTGTCAAATGTTTCTGACTTCAGAATACTGAGAACGTTCATTCTAAATCCCAACAATCGTCTTTCTCATTGGTAGTATACTAGCATATTGCAAAAGTTATAATTTGTGAGTCATGAACTGACTGTGGGGGCAGATGTAAATGGTATAAATTAAAGGTAATAACAAAGAAAGCAACTTATTTATTTCAGATACTGTATCACAGTAAACAATTGCAGGTGATATACAACTGAGACATAATTTGCTGTTGTCATTTGTATGATTTGCCGGTTATACATACCTGCAAAGTGACTAAACAGTGTACTGAGTGACACTTGGATGTAATAGCAGGCATTTACAGGGTATTTAGCAAGCTCCATACCCTAGGACGCTCTAATAAACAAACTCTGAATAGAGCTTGTAAGATTTGGCCGTGGTCTGTTCCTGCATTTATCCATTGCATGATTGATGGACATCCTTGCTAAACAGTAAGACAATGTGGGCGTTGGGCCAGAGCTGGACCTTAAAGCTTTGGTTGGAATTTGCATTGCACAGTGCCTAGGTTTGCGCGTCTTGGGGTGCTTTGGAACAAAACTGATCCTATTTGCAGAAACCTGGAGAAACCTATTATTTTACCCATGTGACACTGTGGTAACTTTGCCTCCCCTACAAGTGTGCTTTAATGACTGGCCCTGCACTACAGAAGTTGAATTAGCATTTTTTCTTTTTCATTCATAATGTGACAATTGGCCTAATTTAGTCATTTTAGACCTAATATGAGCATAATAATGCATATATTAACCATATCTGCATATACTGTATATATGTGATCATCATGCCCACATCTGTTGTCTCCCATATGTTTGTCTAGGGCTACAACTAATGATTATTTTCAAAAACGATTAGTTGGCAGATAATTTTTTCGATTAATCGGTTACAAAAATTAAATAACCGCCATCCTTAACTTGAATTAAAATACACAAATGCAGTGTTACAAACATAAAGTTTACTTCAGAGTAAAACTGCATGCACAATTTTTCGCAATCGCACTCCACTGGAATGCATGGCATGGTGGTACAGTGGGTTCCAGTGTGGGCGATCATACTGTGGGTGGCATGCAGGTTTGGGGTGCCATTGAATGGCACTGCAAAGCCCCTCCCGCAGCAGAATTTGTCAGGCGGAAACCGAAAATGACTTTTTTCCCACCTTTTTTATAATTTTTTTTTGTTATTGTATTGTGAGCACATGGACTTGAATAGCTTCAGCCAGGGAATGACAACTGCCAGTGGCAAGATTCCTGGTGCAATAGTCAGCCTGCTATTGGCCATTTCAGATTAAGATAGGCAATTGCAGGCTCCCTGTTGCATCCGCCCACTGCTTGCTGTGCCCTTCTCCCAACGTGGAGGAGAGAGGTAGAGGATCCAACCGACTAGTTGACAACTATTCTCATTATCGATTATTATCGATCAATCAATTATTTGGTTGCAGCCCTACATTTGTTCTTGTATAGCTTTTAGATATTAGTATAAAGATAAAAACTATTGAACTCCCTAGTGTTGTTGCCAGTAATGTTGCTCACAAATGCACACACTTTGCTTGTTGCTATAACAACCTGTTGTCAGTATTGTTTGAAGAGTAGACTGAGAATCTGTTGATGCGTACTATAAAGGTCCAGAAGAGGAGTATTTACAACTAAATCACAGATTGAATGCTTTGCTGCCTGGAAACCACAAACCTTTTTAGACATGCTGTATTTGTCATTGACATTGCTAATTAAATGTATTTTTCACTATTTTCATTCCCTTGAGATTCTTCTTAAAAACTGGAAATAGTGGGCTTAGAAAACAAATTGCTCAGTAAAAATATCCTAGTCGCAGCAACCATTCAGGATCCATATTGTACTGTGGTGACTTCAGTGAAGTTAATTTTTATTGATTGATACAAGTATATATGGAAGAACTGTACTCCTGATACAGTAAACTATATATTATGTGACCATTTCAAAGCCCATTAAACACCGGTATAGCTGTTTGGTCTAGATTTCCTTTTGCTCTTTGACAAACTCAAGCTCTTCCAGGGGAATTGCATGGTTTTCCTGGGAATGCTGAGAAATATAGACCTACCGGTAGGCTCTGGGACCTTCTCCCAGTCCGTTATGCCTGCAACTCTCATACAGGAAGCCCTTCAGGGAACATCTTAACAGGAGGAATTCAAACTTCCTTCTATATTTGAAAGAGTGATTTCACTACTTCAGGTTGCTCCACAAACATTGATAATCTGTTAACAAACAATGCATAGAGCAGTTGTTATACAGTTAGATTTTTTTTAAACTTTCTTGCTTTGAATAATTAAAGGGGAGGTGTTCTGTAGTCTTAACGGACTCTCATAGGATGCTGCTTTTCCATAAATACAGTACAGTGAGTTAGAGTTGTCATCCTAGGACATGAAGTTTGTTACTGTTGGAATCACCATAGAGAAATAAAGAAAATGAAAAAAAATGAATGCAGCCACCATATCTAAAGACTGATAAGCTGCAATACATTACATTTTTGTTATTGGGTTTAGATGCACATTATTGACCCAACCAAATTATATTTACTTTATACAGTAAAGTAAATATATTGCAAAACTGTTGGGAGATAGTTGAGTGACTGAATAAATTCCCCTTGTGTAAAAGCCCACCTTTGTAATACTTCTCATGATGCTGAAGTATGGCAGCAGACATATTGTAATTAACAATGATTGCAACTAGAATCAGAGTTAGAACATCAGTAATAAAATACTGAGATGAACTAAGAGATTATCCCTGGAATTGTCGCACCCCTGCATGACAAATGTCCGTTTTATGTCAAAAATAACAGGTACATGAATTTGTCACATGGTGGGGGCCAGATTGAATCGGCATGTTCAGCCCCCGAACCGCATAGCACCCTTGGTTGCCATGGCGCTCTCAGTTGCGCAGTGGCATTGGTTGTTATGGTGCTGTGTGGGCGACAGTCCTAGCGCACTATTGAGTTGTGCAGTGCAATTGCCTTACCCAAATCCCCCCGCCTCCTGCTATGCACACTATTAGTTGTTATTGTGACAGCCAAGTTTCCATTCTGTGTACAAAAGTAGCTGAGAGCAGCTACTTCACAAGTGATTTCTGTAACAGCTTTCTACGAGACACTGAAAGTACTACAGTATAAGTTGTCAATAGCGGAAGCTGTTACATGTAGAAGATAGGCTTTTCTTGTGATTCATGCTGTACCATATACAAGTCAAAATATTTCCTTTAGTTTTGCATAGAGTAGGAATGGTTAAAATCCATGAGGTTTTGTTTTTTTTGCTGTGTCCCATTAAGGAGTTTACCCTTTTCCCTTGATATGACAGCTTCCCTAATGCTTTAAAAAAAAGCTTTGGCTTTAGAGATACTTTCAGTGACAAACTGCAAAGCAATTTTTTTTTAAATACATTTTTCAAGCTTTTTAAAAATACAATATTTAAAAAATATCCCTTTATATCATTTTTATATAACTTTAAAATTTCAACCAGAAATTTTATTTTTATATCTTGATAAAAGGAACAAATTAAAGAATAGAATTAAAGTCTCTTTTTTTACGTATATCTACTGCCAGCAAGCAGTAGATATATGCAAAAGCGTTATAAATAAAAAAAACTTAACAAATAGGTAAATGCTTACCTTTGTCTCTGCTGCTCGCTCCCATCTGAAGATCTGAAGCTTCTTGAGCGGCCGTGCAGGATGATGGGGTGGGCACATGCGCATTAGAGATCTTCGGCAGGGAGAAGAGAGACACAGTGTAAGTGAATGCACGCAGCCATGAGCATGCACGTCGGACACACACTGGGACCTGAGGAGTCTGCGCTAGATCAGAGGCCGGCACCAGTGTTGGAGGGACTCCTGAAAACTACTGGAAAGAAGATGACTGGATCAAGAGGCGTCATTTAAGGTAAGTCCTTAAAGCAGCATGGGGGGGAGGGGGGATTGTGACTTTAATGTCACTTTATCCACCTCCCATCCATGGCCATTCCTGAACGGCACGATGGGAGCCTTATAGGAGCGAGAGGGCTGAGCGCCGAACACGAGTGGGGAAACTGTTAGATGGCTGTTTACATTCAAGCGATCAGGCGTCCGCTGTGCCCGGTGCGGCTGGGACCGGCACGGCAACTCTGTTACTGGAGATCAAAGGGAGTCAGTACACAATCTATCTTTGATCTCCTCTCCGGTCCCCGAATGCAGGAAGTGATGTATATTACATCACTTCCGCATTCAGTGTCACTCTCCGGCAACAGATGCCAGTGAGAAGCTGGTGAAGCAGATCTCATCAGTCAAAGTACCGCAGCGTTGAATACTGAAAATGGCCTGGGACAGGAAGGGGGGTTTAACACCCCGGTCTTTAGGTGGTTAAACTTTTTTACAAAAATGAATGTAGCTCAAATAAATATACATCTTCCAGCAAAGCATTTCTTTAAATTTTTGCCAAGCACCTACAGTCATCATGTTTCTGAGCAGGTGGCTCCAACTCTCTCATCTCAGCTTCCCTGAACTTCTTGTCCAGTACAAGATCACAAAGGATTGTGCCGTCTCCAGCAGCTGTCCATCTACTATCTTGGAGAATCTAGGATGGAGGAGGGAGAAGAGATAAAGAAGCAAGGAGAAGCAGGGAGTTGGGGAGTGTCTTGCCTTGCTGTGCCTGTCAGTTTGTGGAGACACATACAGCTTACAAGCACACACATGGGTGATTCCATAGGACCCTACAAGGAAAAGGAGCCACCCCAAAACAGGACATCAGGTCCAGTGCTCAGGAAACTAAAACTTGTAAACGCCAAGAATTAAGTGATTTAATAAGCATTTCAAAAAGCTTTAAAAATGTTTGACTCTATTATAACGTTAATCACTTGTTTTAAACTATCTCTAGGAGAAACGTGTATTGTTTTGTTTTTATATTATTTTACCTTTTAAGATATATTTTTACTTATGTAGAGAAATATATTAAAAAAATCTACAATTAAATTACTCCAAGAATTCAATTACATTACTCCAATGGCCACTTGCTACAGACTTCATTGCTTTATATCAGGGTCTCAAAGTACAAGCCCGCAGACTGATTACTTTTTGCCTGGGGTTATAGCCGGCCCTCATGTATTAGGCCAGCAAGGGGACCTGGGGGAGCAGAGAGGGGGCTCTTACCTTTTGCAGCAGCTAGGGTTGCCACCTGTCCAGGATTTGCACGGACAGTCTTAGTTTTGAGTCATGTATGTGCTGTGTCCAGATTTCAGCAGGCCTGAAGTCACGCTGTCAGGTGTACAGGGGCAACCCACGGAGTGCTGGTGTTCCAACTGAGTGCATGGAGGAGGCACGGGACATGGAGGGATGCTGGGACTCGGAGAGGAAGGAGGTGTCTGAAACACAGGGTGCAGATAAGTCTTGAAGTACACAGGAGTCCTGGTTTAAGCATATGTGTTGTTCGCAATCTCTCCTCACTCCCTCTCCAGGCTGTCTCTCCTCACTTTCTCGCCCCGGTCTCCCCTGGCTATCTCTCCAGGCTGTCTCTCTTCTCTCTCCTGGCTGTCTCTCTTCTCTCTCCTGGCTGTCTCTCCTCACTCACCCTCAGGGCTTGTCTCTCCTTGCTCTCTATTCTGGCTCCCCTTGATCGCTCATCTAGCTGTCTCTCCTCGCTGTCTCACCTCGTTCTCGATGCCTCGCTCTCTCTCCTGGCTGCCTCTTCTCACACCGCTGTCTCTTCTGGCTGCCTCCTCACTCTCTGTCCTGGCTATATCTCCTCGCTCATCCTCATGGCTTTCTCTCTCTCCTGGCTGTCTCTCCTCACTCTCTCTGTGCTGTCTCTCCTCAATCTCTCTGTGCTGTCTCTCCTCACTCTCTCCTGGCTGCCTCTCCTCACTCTCTCCTGGCTGTCTCTCCTCGCTCTCTCTCTCCTGGCTGTCTCTCCTCGCTCTCTCTCTCCTGGCTGTCTACTCGCTCTCTCTCCTGGCTGTCTCTTCTTTCTCCCCTGGCTGTCTCTCCTTGCTCTCTCCCCTGGCTTTCTCTTCTCCCTCTCTCTCCAGGCTGTCTCTCCTCATGTGACCCCCATGGAAGAAGAATACATGCCCAGTGCCCCCAAGGTCATTTGAGTTTGGGACCCCTGCTTTAAATGTATTTAATACTGTTGAGCTATGGAGGCTATGCACAGCCAGATAATGTGCAGTTATATCATTTGCAACTATCTGCCTGTGTAGGGCTCTCCTCCTGGGGCAATAACAGTGTCTAGTTGAGGTATTTATTATTGTTCACAAATATTTTGCCCCCTGACAATCTTCCCCGTTTTTATGGAATAAGGTAAAGGAGAACTATGGGGGTAAGTGTTTTTTCCCATAGTTCTCCTAAGGGTCACGGGAGGACATATACTAGCGTCCTCCCATGTCCCAATGCTCAGCTCGCGGTATACTGAGATTGCCGCAGCCGGAACGGATCCCGACATTACTGTCGAGATCTACACAGCTGCGTGAGTGACAGCTGACTCTGCCAATCTAGAGGCAGAGCCAGCTGTACCGCCCCCTCCCCTGTCCGTTCCCCCAGTCAGTGCTGGAGGATCGGGGAGGGGGGGAATCCCTGCAGGGAGCCGTGAGTGACAGTCACGGCTCTCTGCAGGGAGAGGATCGAGAATTGAGCGAGCAACTGTATGTGTTCACTCACTTCCCGATCTATTGAGCCGACGTGGGAAGTTTTTCATTGTCCCACATCAGCTCGAACTATGAGGTTGAGTGAAAATCACTCACCTCATAGTTCTCCTTTAAAGCAAGGCATTACCCAAATGCATGTCAATTCTGTTCAACTGAGTTACAGGATACTTTACAGTGGGTTTGAACACATGCAGACTGACATGCTAATACTAATAACACACTTCCTGTCCTAGGGTAGCTACACTTTCTTCTCCACTGTATCTATAGAGACAGCCATGGTTGTCCATCAGGCTGCTCTTCCGCTGTGGACTAAAAGTTAAGATTGTATGAGATTTCAGTTCAGTTCACAGGAAGTGACAAGGACGCTGCATTTCTATTAATATCAACGGGTATTTTCTGTACTTGCTGGAAATGTTCTTTGTTTAAAAAATGAAAGCCAACGCAGCCACCACAAGGACTGGTAAGAAGCTGTATATTACACTTTTGTTCTTGGGTTTACATATTCTTTAAGAATTCAACATAAAAGTTGCAATTCCATACCTTTTTAATCACTTGAAGCTGTCACAACCTCAATATTTTTGCCGTGGACATTCTTTCGGTAACTTCAGTTAAACTGTTACTGATTTCCTCCTTGAATCTTGTACATTAGGGTATTTAAATAGATGAGTGAGACAGTTCCCTTAGCCAGCCCAGGAAGAACATTAGAATGCATTTATCAATTTTGTCATACCCCCTTTGCTGCTTTCTGTGAATCCATTGGCACAAATTGTTCCCAGTACACAGAGTTATGTGATAGAGATGATGTAAAGTACTGTGCAGATGTTTACATTCAAGCAAAGGCTTCATGGTTTTAAGTTTTGTGCCACCAACTGTCTTGTACAGTGTATTGTCTTGACTAAAATAGATTCTTGTCTATAATGGCATGCCTGTGATCTTCTAAATTGGTTTTCACTTTGTAGTTATCAGTCTGCTGGAGTCCTGGCAGACACTAAAATATGTCATCTTACCAAAGACAAACTGGCAGACAGCACAAAACAAATATCACCTCCCGATGGATCTTTACTTTTCATGTTTTGTGTCTTTATCATTATGTTTCTTCTTTGAAGTTTCCTTGAAATATACTTATATATAAAACCGCTTGCTATCGACAAAGTTTTGTACATCAAAAAAACACTTCCATGTTGGTACACTGTTGATGTGAAAATGCAAAATGTGTTCAGCTTTAAACCTCTAAATGCGGCTCTGTTCACTGAAGAATCTATCCTATCAATTTTGTCTAAGAAGGCAGGGGTAGACAAATTATTGTACAAATCAGTAGCCAGGCATGCCATACTAGAAATAGGCATACATGTCTAATGGAACATTTGCTTTCATTGATAACAGCAGAAAAGACTCAGAAAGTTATGCATCAGTTCAAGCTGTTGCTAAAAAGCAGAATGCAAAGAGCACTCCTTTAATTCTGATGTCTGGAGGCATTTTTGAAGAAGAAAGCTGGTTAATGTTCCCTGTAGCAGACAGTTCACCACTTTAAACCTCTGAAAGTCCTGCTGCTATGTAGTCTCATTAAAAAAGTGGTCTCATTAAAACTTAAAGTTGGAGGCATTTTACATTGTGAAAGTTGTGAACAGTTAACATTAGTTTCCTTAAAACTGAACTCTAGAGTAGATAAGCATCTGAAACACATAAATGGGTAATGTTTTACCTGCTGAAGAACTGTTCAGATAGTCTTGTGATGGCGTCATTCCTATCAGGCAGCATAGCCAGGTCTTCGATATTCTGCAACAGCACACTCTGGCCTGCTTATTGGATAATGGATGAGCAGTAGCTTGATGATGTGGTCTTCACTCTTTCTTTCTGTAGTGATGTTTCCTGTCAATGTGCACTGCAGAAGCACCATGGTTCTACATTGGCTATTAACGGTGACCTTCCCTTTCCCAGTTTGACTGCTGTGCAGAAGCTTGCAGAAAGTGGGTATTGAGACACTTATACCAGTTGCATTTAAAATACATTAAATATATATTTTTTTAAATATATGCATTAATTATTTGGTGTTTTCCAGGAGTTCAGCTTTATTTTCTTAATTTTAGCGTTCGTGTCCCTAATATCTATGCAGAAATATTTATTTTGACCAAGAAAAAAGCTATAACTGTGTGACGCATTTAATAAACCTATTTGAACTTATTGTTCTGTTTATGATATTGTTTATGTTTCTTTCTTGCACACTATTTTTCTCTAGAATGAAGATGGACTGAAAGAATACTTTGAATCTGTGGTCAGAATGACCAGAGTTGACCCAAAGAAGATAATTGGATGGGTAATTAAGGATTTGCTTGGCTACCTTCGGCAAGAAAATCTCACTATCAAACAAAGGTGAGATTTGTTTACAAGGTACCTGTGAGTCATTCTGAAGCTGATTCTGGGTCTGAAAAAGAATCCTTCTGCCAAAAAAATTTTACTCTTTCAATGCAAGCATAACAAAATGTATTGTCATATCATGTTGGAATTACAGTCAGCCTTAGTTAAAATAGTTAAATAATTCTAGAATATACAATTAACTTCTGTGCTTCTGATATTCATATACAGATTTTACTGTCATCATTATCAAATGACCCTCTCCACTTTCATCTTATGTTGGTCAGGTGCATCTAAGTTATTTTATCTGGATGGTCCACTGCTATGAAATATATATACAATACTATACTAGTATAGTCCTCTTACTGTACTTTACGTGCACAGCAGTGAGATAACCTAAAACAGTTTGACAAGAACAATAAACAGCTCCGGTCAGGGACCTACATGAATGTTAACATTTGTGCTTAAATACTATATCCATACCATTATAGCTCTCTAGTAGCCACTCGTATAAAGGTATAAAATCACTAAAGGAAGCTGGTTATGCTGATATGATCTAACTGTCCAGCAGGCATATTGATAACAATTACTTGGTACCTTGGTTCAGCCAAGTGTTTTTGTTTGGCAGTAGAGGACAGAGCAGGAGAGTTGTGTTGGCAGATGCTGCCAATGGCAGCTATCTTGAAGGGAAACCGCATCAGAACATTTTGAAAATTGTGACCATGGTTACATAGCAATTTTTTTGAAAGACTGGTAAACTATCAACATGTTTTCTGTTCCTAGTGTTATCACACCCACCTCATTGGCTGAACTTGTGACACTGCTGGGGGACAGAGTCATTTCTTCATCAGCAGCCCAACAGGTATGCGTAATTAAGTTTTCCATTGCAATCACTGATGCAGTTTCCAGTTTCCGTCGGAGTCTCGAATTCAGTTCTGACTAGCGCAAAAAGTTGCACAAAAGGCTGGATGTGTTTCTAAATATACACAATATAACTGGTTATTAATATCTGATTGATAAGTGTGTATGTTGCCTTTCTCTGGATCAACTGTGGGTTTTAGGTTCTGATTTTATTTATTTTTGTATTTTTTGTTGCTGTTGTTAAAAATAAATCTTTTTTAACCTATGTAACTTTATAAGCAGTTACTTTGTTAAAAACTGTTCACTAGATTAAAGTGTAGTCACTTGCTTTTGTCATTTCAATATTAGGGTTTCCGGGGAACTGTCTTCCCTGTGACAGGAAAAGGCAGGGAACATCAGTCTCCTCCCCCATCTATTCTTTACTTCCCTGTCTGTGAGAGGAAAAGGCAGGGAAAACCAGTCTCCTCCCCTTTCACCTCTTCCCTGCCTGTGAGAGGATAATACAGGGAACATCAGTCTCCTCTCCTTTTGATTCTTAAATTCCCTGCCTGTGAGAGGAAAAGGCATGGAACATCAGTCTCCGCCCCCTTCTATTCTTTACTTCCCTGCCTGTGAGAGGAAAAGGCAGGGAACATCAGTCTCCTCCCCCTTCTATTCTTTACTTCCCTTCCTGTGTGAAGAAAAGGCATGGAAAAGCAGTCTCCTCCCCTTCTATTCTTCCCTGCCTGTAAGGGAAAAAGGACAGGAACTGCAGTCTACTCCCCCTGTCTCTGGGAAGACAGGAGCTTCAGTCTCCTTCCGCTTATACTCTTCCATGTCTGTGAGGGAAAAGTCAGGCGACTTTAGTCTCATGCAGGAAGTTGTGCCAGCTGTGCCCATCCCCTCCACCATTCATCTCCCCAGTCAGCACTGGAGGAATGGAGAGGGGAGGGGGGAATCCCTGCCAGGTGCCGTGACTGACAGTCACCTCTCTCTGCAGGGAGAAGATCGGGAACAGGGTGATCAGCGGTATGTGAACACTCGATCTATAGAGCCAACGTGTGACAGCTCCCCATAGTTCTCCTTTAAATTATTTTCCTTTTCTTTGTCTCCAGTGACCAAAGCTGAGTTATCTTGTAAGCGGCCTAAGCATGCTAGGAAAACGCCTTTCCTGTTTAAAAATAATTTTAGATCAAGGCTACAGTTTGGCATTAAACATATAGGCAAAGGCCAGGCCTTTTGGAAAAATGTGCTGTGAACTGATGAATCAAAGTTAGACTCGGCCACAATAACATTAGATATGTTTGGCGCAAACCGAGCAAAGAACTGCATACCAACTATGAAGCATGGCAGTAAAAATAATTTCTGCTAATGGGGGCAGTACCAGTTTCTGAGATCAAAGGTGTGCTTACTTTTACTACACTTCTACTACACTATTACTTCTATTAGTATTTTTGTTGAATAAATTATTGAAAGGGTAAATTTTTCTTGTGTTTTGATGCAAGTAAATCTGCTTTATTTGTAAGCAAAAAATGAATGATAATCTAATCTTTGCTTGGTTCAATATATTGAAAAAGTTAACAATATTTATGGGGTGTACTTACTTTTTCACATGACTATTCACGGGTACTATTATTATTAATTATTATTATTTTTGTTAAGAAAATGGTATTGGTGACAGAATTCCTGCCTCTCAGGATAACAGTCATTTACCTAGTACTGGCCCTAGAAATATCACTGAGGTTCTTACAGTATTACTCCATAGTAATGTCAAGAAACTGTCCAAATCTTAAAGGCAGCAATTTTTTACAGTCAGAATAGTTGCTACTGTTGGACTTTACAATAACATAGGCTTAAAAATGGGCAATAGAAAAAAAACAAACACTGGGCGCCTTTCCTGGTGCAATGAAACCTTTTAGTCAGTTAAAACATGTACAAAAATATATATGTACTCACAAGGAGAGCAAGGGTAAAGGCATCAATTAACATTTGTCCTAAAAAGGACGTGAATATGAGGACAATCCAGAGGATCCGTTGATCAGCAAAATCCCACAAACACAGCTAAAAATGGGCGAAGTCATACACAGTGTGTCGTAACGTATTAAAATGTGCTTGAGCCCAATCGGTCATTTTGACGGGTTGGATGCAACTAAGACGGGCAGTGGTAAGCGAAGCTTGGAGGGAAATCCAATTTAAACTAATACATCGGGCTTATTATGGTTTCAATATCATAGCAAGTCACAGGCCCCCGGAATGGTTGATAATGTGCCCGAAATGCCAGGTCCCCCTACCCGACTTGACACACCTCATATGGTTGTGCCCTTATGTACAATCCTTGTGGGAGGAGGTTATCTCCTATATGAATGTACATTCTGGGCATAACAGAACTCCTTCACCTGATGTTTGTCTCTTTCACTGTCCAGCCCCAGAGCAACCCGACACATCGTCAGCACTGACAAGATGGGAACACATCTGCATCATAAGCACCAAAAAAGCCATCTTGATAGATTGGTTGACGTCCACCCCAACATCACTACTTAGGTTTAAGTCGGTGCTACATCGGCTCATGTTGCTCGACAAATTAGATACAAAATTCAATTTGCAACGCACCAAAAAATTCTTCGATACCTGGTCTGCCTATTTGATCTCTGAATTAACTACAGAGCAATTGCGTGACGTAATGATTATTTTCCAATACTCCACGTGGTTTCTCACTGCCAAACTCTCTAACACACTTGGCGATCTAGATGTACTTTAGAAGCCTCTTATTCATTCATACACATTTAACCCCAGGATTATACTTCCCTAATTATCCATCTTTATCTCTTTTTCTTTATTCTCGTTCAGCACCTTAAGATTGCAGCTCTGAATCGCTCTACTAATACCCAACAACTACTCTTTTTCATATATTACATGGATCATATGTCATTATGGCCATTCAAATTTACATTAACAAATGTCATCCCAGTTATTTTTGAGTTTTGAAGTTTTTACTCTCTGTGTACTTCATTATATGATGGTATCTCTTATGTTTGCATGAATGTGCACTGTTGAAATTTAACTGTGGATGTTTCCACAACTCATTTTGTCATACAAAAGTCTGTACATTATGCACTGTTGAAGCCTGATAATTGTACTGTACTTACTTTGCAAAAAAAAATTAACATGCAAAAAAAAAAAAAAAATGTGCTTGCTTATTCATCTGTTATATTCATGATTTCTATACTATAAAAACAGCATGCCAGGGTCATGAAGGCCTAGCAATGCAAAGCATGTATACTGTATATTGTGTGTATATACAGATGGATATATGTATAAACTGCCCCAGAATCCTCCACCCCTGGGAACAGAAGTGGCAATAGAATCCACCACCTCTGCGTACTGTAGAAGAAACATAAAAAAAATCAGCCATAGTGGAGGAAAGAAAGCCATCAGCCTTTCTTTCCTCCACCTGTAACATTGCACAAAAGAAATTCTGTACAACCTTATTGATCTCTGACTCTTAAATGACAAACTTTTTCCAGCACATTGAAATACTTATTTAGCCATTGCTGCGAAACTGGGTTGTTCACAAACCCTGCAGACTGGAAAAAATTATATCTTCTGTGTGTCTTTCTAAATATTGTGTTTTGTTAGATTCATCTATCCAGACAGATCTTTAATTTACTGTTATGTGTACCTTTTATGTCACCATTAAATTAGACTTTTTATTTCATCCAGTTACTTAGAATATTCTGCTGTATGTGTCAATATCTCTGCCACTACATAAATATTTGAAGCCCCAATAACGAACGCACACACTCTTTAATTTTACCTTGTGGAGTATATTAGGTATTGCAATCTTTCTGTTTTTGAAGTTACATATTAATTTACCATGGGACTTCAGATTTATTATGCATATAAGAACCTTAGTAGCTGAGAAATAACCAGCAAATATAAATGTGATTGTAGAATTATAATCTACTTTATGAAAATATCTACTCATTGCGTCTGCCAGTGGGATGTGACACAATAAACTGGATCTTCTCAGCAATAACACAATTGCTGTTTTGCTCTACAGTTCTCTGTGAACTTTTTTTTATTCTATTTGCAGATTTATCTAGGGCGTCAGGTTTATCCAAACAATAAACCTGTTAGAGAAATATGTATGCTGTCATTGTTAACCACCTTCTGAAAATGCTAGATGCATGTGAGTTATGGTGTCCTCCTGACTTTAATACATCCTTATCTGCCTTCTGTGTCAGTGACTCAAAGTATTGTATGAAGAGGGTCACGGTGAGATCTAGGCAGCTGTTATTTCCTGAAAAAGAGGTCACCAATAGCAGCCTCCATGTTTCTGTCATGGCTTTTATAACTGGACTCCAGTTAGAACAATTAACTACTGATTCCGAAGGCATTCCCTTACCCTAATTGCAGTCACTCTTGGTAGTCTTAGCTATTCATGAATAAATAGCCCTGAAAGAGGTCCTTTTAACCTCTTGCCGTCCGCCTGTAGTAAAAAAACGGACGGACGGCACTGCTGCAATGGCGGGTTGCCGTCACCAGACGGCATTTTTTTTCTGCTCGCGCGCGCCCCCTAGCGGGCACGCACGGGCAGAAAAGACCCGACCATTGCACACACCTGTTACCGGGTGTTTCACATATAGGCGATCCATAGCCAGCTGATCGTCCATATGTGCTCGTTCGCGTCCGCACCACATCACCCCCCCGGGCGGCCACTAAACTGATGAGCGGTAACAGCTTTTAAAGCGTCGCCTATGGCCAATTTTGGGTATTATCGTTTTTTGAGGTTTTGACATGTTTGGTGTCTTTTAAGGCTTGACATGTTTGGTGTCTTTTTACCCGACGTGACCCCGTCTTTTATATTTTACCAAAAAATTGGGTAATAATAAATGTTTTATCATTTAATATAGGGGGAAACTGTTTTTGTTTTTTTTAAATTTCGGTAATTTTTCCTTAATATAGTAAAAAAATAAAAACCCCAGTGGTGAATAAATACCACCAAAAGAAAGCTCTATCTGT